ATGGTCATGGGTTCAAGTCTCACCAGCCTGCAAAAAAAATGTAAACATAAATGTGAAAATAGACCTTAAGTTGAAATACAGTACGGTATGTATAAAAAGTAACATTTTGGAATAAAGACTCTTTATATTAATAATAATAATAATAATAATAATAATAATAATAATAATAATAATAATAATAATAATAATGTAGGTTCTTAATATAGTGCCCTATAATAATCTCTCAGAGTGCTATTACACAGAAAAAAAAATTTAAAAAAAATTAAAAAAATTAAATTAAATTCTACAGACTAACTTATACATATAATATTATATAATATAATACAGTATAATAAATTGTTTTTAATGTATAATGGTATGTCCTATTAATATTAAATTATAAACAAAATTTGTTTTAATGCCAAATGTCTATTGTTTTGAAACCGGTTAGCAAAAATAAATGTAAATCATCAGAAATAATAGAATTGATGTAAATACGGCAGTGAATTTTTATAAAGTAAATTTGTAGGCCCTGTTAATAAATCAATCAATTTGTGGAGTAAAGCTGTACAGTACCTTGGTGGTTAAAACACTTGCCTTCCAATGCCAAGGTCATGGATGAAATTCTTGTCATGTGATGAGATTTTTTTCTCCTGACAAAAAAAAGAAACAAAAAACACAACTAATTACTATCAAATTATTTGAAAAAAAACATGTGACATGCCTAAATATGGTCATGATGACATCACATCATGACCATATATAGGCACATCATGACCATATATGTGCATACATGAAATTTTGATAATCTGGATATAGCTTTCATACCTACAAAGTCTCCCGCATCTGGCGAGAGACTTTCTGACCCCATCTCAAGCACTCCCGCCAGCCACATACATTCTCCCGCTTTTCATGTGTCTCATCGCAAAAAAAATAAATCTTTATATACTGTACCATAGTCTTATAAATACTACAGTAGGCCAGGCCCACACGTATGTACTATTTTCAGGCCTATTTTGACTATAAAACATTGGAAGGAATTGTTGCGATGTTTACATTTTAGCTATTACCTGCACACTGTGTGGCCCCTGAATGCACTAGAAAGCATCTAGGCAAAAAAAAAATGTCCGGGCCCTGGACCCACGCCTATTGGAGTCTCTTCCATGACAGAATCTCAAGCCAGCGCTTCTCTCAAACTTGGCATGTTTGAGCTTTAGCCTCATAGCAAGATTTGTTCTATGAAGAACATGTTGTATGTTAGTCTTGGATTGCCAATGAAACAGTGATTAAGTTCACTAATGCCAATCCTTGGCCCATGTCCCTAAATTTGTCTGCCAATCATTCATTCATTCATGTGATGCCAAAGATTCCCAGACAAAGGGTCTAAGGTCCTGACAAGAGGGTCCACACCCACCTTTTAGTCCCTTTATGGGGCTGAGGCGAGCAAATGTTAAAAATCGGCACAAAATCAACTTCTGTCCTTAAAAGGAAATTCCAAAAAAAAATGTATCAAGGGGCTTAAAATGGTCAGCTGATTTTTCCACCGTCTATTCAAGCGCCAACCTGGCTGTAAATGGCAATAAATTGCAAAAATTACATCATCACTTTAGGCTGTTTTTCTACAGATAGGAGAAAAAAATAATTGAAATTCAGCCAATATTTTGGGTTGCATGTCAGTTCTTTCAGAATTTCCCAGCCTCTTAATTTTTTTTTTAATATCTGGTTTCCCATCCAGTTTTCCCAGGTGATTTTGTAATAGTAGGCAGTTTCTACTTCAATTGTTTTCCAAATTGAAGAAGTATGATTAATCATTGCTGACATATGAATGGCATTCTTGTGCTTGATATGTTCAAATCACTTTCGACATTAATTTCATAATGGAAACCGTAATTACTATATGAAAAGGCTATTGATAGTTAGTGAGTGATTGATTGATTGATTAATTACAGTTACCAAACAAAGAGGCACCTGGCTAAGAGTTTCTCAGGCCCTATCTAGTAAAAATCATAGTCATAATAGTTGTAATATTACAGTCATAATAATTCTTTATTGTCCATTTATATAAAACAGAAAAGTAATTTGAACAGGCATAATGTACATTTTCAATTTTAACAACAAAGGCAAGCACAACATCCATTAAATATACAATTTATCAATACAGAATTATAAATCTATCTTTTTTTTATGCTGTTTTATACCTGTTTCATAGTTTTTGTCAAATTTCATTGTATTTTAATGCATATGAGGGCCCCAAATGATCAGCTTTGCTGGATTGGCTACCCTCGTGAAATATGGTTTCATAAAATAAAGTTACTTAATAAATTGCACAATTAAATATAAATAAGACTTATTCTATAAAAAAGGATTATGTACAGATTTGAATTCATACCAACAAATTAAAGGTTAAAGCTATTTCAATTACTAACAAATACATACACTCACTTATCTATTGACCTTGGAAATGAACATAATTCGGTATAAAAGAATTTCTAAAACGTTGATATTTTTTATATTCTCCTTGATAAATGATTCCCATTTGCCATTTAGGCTTATGGTTTAATGGATAATTAATATCTCAAGGCCCATTAACATCCAGGTGGCCCCTGGTCTTAGCCAGTAAGAGCAACACCCAGGTGGTCCCTGGTCTTAGCCAGTAAGAGCTTTAGTGTGATGCCACTGATTGACTGACTAACTGATTGAATGAATGATATGTCTAGTGGTGACAAACAAAAATAATTAGTTATGTAACCTTCAGTTATCATGATAGTGTGCATGACTGTTCTTTGTGTGAAATCTGGCCAATCAGAATTGGAACTTACAGGAACTTGGCAGAAATTTCACTTCAGCAAAAATTTCTTCAAAATCAAAACAGGATACCAATTCATCTTCATTTATTATATTGTTTGTGAGAGAGCTGTCAAAATATAATAGAATAATTTAGCATCAACTTATGTCCCCTTCATTTATATGTCTTAGTGGCCCCTTCTATCAGAAACAAAAGGTATACCGGTTGTGACAACATTGAGGCGCTATATAATCCAGAATTATTATCAACAAAACAAGTATTTGAACACAGCTACATATTTCATCTTTGCTTTTGCAGTTAGCATAAGAAATGCTATTACATAACTTTTGGAAATAATTTTTCACGAAGGCCAGTGTTTTTTAATATCATGGAAGACATAATTATTATCAAGGGTCAGAGGTTAAAGTCCTGTCCAGACTATCAAATTTTATTTGACAAAAACGTGTGACATGCCTAAATATGGTCATGAGGACATCACATCATAACCATATATAGGCACATAATGACTATATATGGGCATACAATAGTTTTTTGTCGTCTTTGATAATCTGGACGAGGCTCAAGATCAAACTAAAGTATAAAAAAAGCAGGAATCATAATTAATAACTGAAAATATAAATAAAACTTTGTCAGATTCTTTCAATTTATGAATAAGCTATGCTACAGTAGGCCTAGGGGGAGGAAAGGGGATGCAATCAGATTTACAATTGGCTCATGTGTACTTTAAAGAACCCATACATCTTTCAATACAAGTCGGGGGTTGCCCTGTTGTATTTGTAATGGTCCATACTGCCTCTGTTATTTACAGTAGTAAGTTAGTAAAGTTAAGCCTATACGCAATTCATAATGGCCCCAAAACCACGACTCAGAAATACCAGGGGCGGATTGCTATAAAACGGTCTTAACTGGTAGTCTTAACTCCTCGAATAAAGCCGGCTTTATCACTTAGACGGTCTTACTAAAGTCATTCCTCTAAAGACCATTGCTATAATATAGTCTTCCCTAAGACCGCTTTGAGTATTGAAACGCAAACAAGCACTCCCTGGTAACGTAAGATTGAGGGCGGCGTCATGCGTGCTCGCGCAACCAAATGTATCGAAATGAACGTAAAAACGCTAGACCTATTTTTACCATAGAGCTATTATATCTCTATGATTTTTACAGACGCTGAGAAGTGTGCGGAGTATTCGTCGTTCGATTCTCCGACTTGGACAATCTAGGCCTAGGTCTTGCCATTGCACTGTTGAATTAATCAGCAGAACGCCATGATGAAAATGATTTAAGACCGTTTTAAGCCTCCTCCGAGTAGGCTTCAAAATTTAAGACGGCTAACTGGTTAGACCGCAGTATAGCAATGGTCTATAATCATAGAGCAGTAGTGATGTCACGATTATAGCCGGCTAACCGTTAAGACCGTCTAAAGACCGCTTATAGCAATCCGCCCCTGGACAGTGTCCGGCAAGGGATAGTTTTTACCTTGTAGTAGTTTAAGTCATTACAATCACAATCTCAATTTTCAAGCCCCGAAACATAGATTCAGAAATCCCGGGATGGTGTCCGGTGGGGATAGTTTATTACCTGATTTTGTTAAATTTTTACCTAGTTATTATTTCTGTAAATTTATTTATGAGTGGACCCATGCAGTTAAATTTCTATGTGAAAAAAATGTTTTTTACAAATGACAATAAAATACTGTTTCCCTGTAGTTATTGACCATTAAGTCCTTTGTAGGATGTATATTTGTACACAAATTCCTATTTATTTTCAATGAAAATTTTTTATCTATTCAGCTACAGTATTTCTGTATTCAAATGAATAAGTTTGTGATTTGTCTTAATAAATTGTTCCAATGACCTGTGTATGTAATTTGAGCGCTAAGTATTTACTGACAATATTGTAATAACTGTATTATTATTATTATTATAGTATTTTTATTATTTATTATTCTTTTATTATTATATAATATATTATTACAATTATTATTTTTGGTAATTTTTTTATTATTAATTGTTAATTATTTTTAAGAATATATCGTTCTTTAAATTTTACATTTCTATGGCCTTTATTGATTGTCTATATGTTTTGATTTTTGTATTTGATTGTATCTGTTGCTGGGCCCTGGAGGATAACAATTCTTTTACACTGATCAGATCACCCAGAGTAAAAATGAAATATAAAAATAAGCATTAATAACAAACTATTTTTCTCATTGCAGAATGTTGACAGCATTGTGTCACTCTCAATTGGCCTAAAACAAATCGGCTGGGTTCACTTAAATAGAGGTCTTCAACTGAATGACTGGAAAGTTCACGAACTCTCAGAGGATGTGACACCCACCAAATGGGACCCTTTCACTTACTTTGTTTTGGTAGGTTTCACTTATTTTCACATATCTAGCAGCAGTTTGTGTTGAGCAAAACAATATGAAAAATAATCTGTTTTAATGGCTTTAATGCTTTGTATTTATTGATTTGCCGCTAGCTTTCAATTAAAACGTAGAACATGACAAGGCCTCTTTCTTACATAAATTTTATTTATTTTAGCAGTTATACAGTATATGTACAGTAATATTACAATAAATATAGTATTTAGGTTCTTATATACCGTTTTTAAAGTGGTACTGGAATAAATGGTCATCATTAACTAAAAAATCATTTGAGCTGAACAAAATATAAACATATAATATAAAATAAACATTGAAGTAAAAGTTTTCATTAATTGTATTGCTAGGATTGTTGAGTACAGTTAAAGAACTTAGTTTTATAATTGCAGGTTGAAGTTGCCAATATAATAAATAGAACCATATGCAGTACTGTATAAATAATACCTTATAAACATTCTGGCATAAATCCTTAAATTTTCACATAATGATGTTTGTAGTAAACAAACAAAAATTGTATCAGTCTTTGTCTTACTGAATGTTGATAGCTTGATCCTAGTATTATTGAAAAAGCAATTCAATATTAGATTCAATTTTGTGTAGTTATTTTTCCTGATTTTACCATAATATTCTTGATAAAGCTTGCAGGTAGAGAGGTATAGTAAAGGATTATGTAATGTAGTTGAGTGAACGAAACAAAACAAACAAAAACAGGTGTCGACATGGTGATGTGGTCATGTCTGGAGTTCCCAGAATTCAGTGTTTATTTTCTGGATGAGTAAAACTCCATTAGAACGGTCACAATGATGTACAGTTTTTCGACTTCAATTTATGACCTCTGAGTGCGTGGGACATTTATGAGCCACTAACTTTGGGAGTAGG